GTGGTCGGGCACACGAAACAACGAAATCGCCACAATTCTGGATTAGCAAATCCCGGGGCTCACTGTTGTTACATAGCTGAAAAAAAAAGAAAAAAACAGCTGAAATTCAGTTCAGGAATTTTCACACAAAAATACTTCCGCGTTGTTGCCTGGCACATTTACAAGTTGAGCACGGACCCAAGCAGAAGAGACAACAACAAGTTACAAAGACGCCTTCACAACAAGTTACAAACAGAACCAGAAAAGCTGGAAAGCTGAGATTTTAGGGGAATATTCTCCGCCCAAATACAACTTAAAGGTTTAAAATTCAGCTTCAAGGTAGTTCCCGTGTACGGGCACTGAAATTTTTGGCGGGAAAACTTCTGACTGAACAGCTGGTAATGCACGGCATCATCAACTATAAAAAAGATACTTTTCAATTTCACTGTGCTAACAGTTGCGCCGTATGGAAGTGAAACATGGAATACCAGCACAAGTGCTGAAAAGAACGTGGATAGTCTTCTTCACAGACCAATTTACAAAGACGTTTTTTTTCCAAACGCTAACACGCCGGTATCAACTACTATAAAAACGATATTTTTCAATTCGATAATATTATCAGTGCGGAAGTGAAACGTGAAATACCACAAGTGCTGCTGAAGAGAAAGAATGAACGCGATGGCCCAACAAAATGATTCCATGGAACGAAGTCTCGTTCTGTTGTCAGCAAGTTGCAACACATTTCCACTGAAGAAGTAATGCTGCGCTGGTCTGGTGTCTGTGAGCGAACTGCTCCATCTGAGAGATCTTCGTGACCCCCAGGATTTCATATGCCATCCCCACGAATGCGGTGCTTTCGTGACAGAAGGGATGATATCGAATTTTGGGCAAACTGGAGAAGCTAAGAAGGAACGTCACGGTGAAACAGCACTGCGCTAACTACAACCTCTCCAGTCGTACAGTCCCACAAAAGTTCGTCATTATGGCTCTCCTATTTATGAAACTGATGCTTAGGTAAAGCTGCCCCACAAAAGCCTGTCATTAGGTTTCCCTATTTATGAAACTGATGCTTAGGCAAAGCTGCCCTACAAAAGCCCGTCATTAGGCTACTTCCTTAGGCGCCTTGATCAGTGCTCAGCGTCCCCCTAGTAACCTCCATGAACCGGTAATTATTGACACAAACCAATACCAGAATTTACCGCAAGCCAATTAATCAGAGTTGGCTGCAACAGCACTCATGGGTTTCAGCGAGAATACGGTACACGGGGAGTTATTTTGAGGGAATTTCGTGGCTCTTTTTCGGTGGTTGTTGGGGGGACTGGTTTATTCTGATTGAAATAATTCAGCAGGTAGGCTGGATTCAGCATTCTCCGTTGGCTGCGGTGTCGCTGCATTTCGTCCTCCTTAGCCCAACCAACCGAAGTGTAAACTGTGAACTTTTATTGTTTTGATAAAATTCGTTTTGGTTATCCCAGCGTCTCCAGCAAGCACGGTCAGCAACATCATCATTCATCCAAATACCGTCCGAATATCGTCGTACCATCGCCCGAACAATTGTCGTAACAGGGTAGTGGTTATTCTGACTGTGATTCAGCCGGTAGTCTGGATTAGCTGTGATTTTCCAAGAATCTCGTTGATCCTCCACGTCCCCTCAGTGCTAGCCACTTATAAGTATTTTGATACTTCGGCTATCCCTGTTGTTTCAGCATCACGTTTCTTCTCAATACTGATGGAGCAGCTGGCAAATTTTCCATTCTTCTCTATTTTGCCATATTTTTTTTTTTTT